ATATTTTTATGGATTGATTTATCAGCGATTTAAGTAACTGCTAAATACTTTGATGGCTGTATTTTATGTGATACAAGGGAAGGCATTGATTTATAGTGTGAAAACTAAATTTAACGTCCTATTAATTTTTTATGGTTGGATTATAGATGTGGCAGACGGACAATGCAAGGGATTGTCAAAGATGGATGGAATGCCCTTTCACGCTAATTTGAATAACTTCTGCGATGGAACAAAACAGGTTTGTATGTCTATATCTTCATTAATGGTGTAGATACTCATAATGACTGAGAAATGGTAGAGGACCTTTAACATTTCAGAAGCAACAAAATTTCCCAACTGCTACCTTGTAAAATTGGTCTCTTCTAAAAGAACTTTATATGTGGGTTTTTTAGATTTTTTTAGGGCTCTGAAAAACAAATATTTCTTATATTAATATTATTCTTTTTAGCGACAATAACACAACTTTCATTATATTAATGTGGTCAAAGGCACAAGTTAAATCACTCATGTACTATAAATTTTGTTTATTTTCTATTTTTATGGTTTATAGGTCTTCCTGTTTGCGTAGAATTTTATTATTTTTAAAGCCTTGTTACAATTCACATGAGTGTTCATTATAATAGATTCTTTAAATTTTCTGGAGGACCTAATCAATGTTTCTTGCAATTTCTTTTTTAGGCTTTCTAAAGAATACATGCTTTCACTTCTTTGTAAAGAGTTCATCATCCACATATATCTAATAACAATTCTGATTTTTGTTTTATGTACTTGGCACTTATTTAAAGGATGCGATTGATCTCCTGCAAGGACACTACATCGTATCGGTGAGTCGAGAGGTGGCCCCTCCATCCCAAAAAGGAGGCCTTGAGGCTATAGCTGTGAGTGCACAAGTTTAACTTGTTAAACAAAATTTTAATACATCGTAAGATTATTTACTTGCAAATTTTGTTCTCTATCTGAAACTTTATATCATCTCCTTTTACAGTCAGTTCCATTGGCTCTATCGTTGGTCGTGACTGGGTTATTTTTTGCAACCTTGTCACTGAGGCAAGGTGAGTTAAAAAGTTTGTGCTTGTTCATGATAGAATATAGCAACTTACTGTAACCGAATAAATACAATTCCAGAAATCTGACATTTCCTATTTTTTCTTCGCAGTTAAATACGATTTTCGGCATCTATTTTTTTCACTTGTGTGGGCAGGGATAAGTGTTGCTCTTGCAGCATTTGTGAGGGCTAATGGTAGGATATTTTGCAATCGGCCTCGTCTGCACAAGCCCAGAAGCTGATTGTGTATTATTTTTTTTATACACATTTTTTATTAACTCTTTTTTCTTTTCCCACTTGCATTGTGAAGCTATCAACTGGCTGATTATTATTTATTTCTTTGATTCCAAATTTTTGTAGTCCATTCTTTATTAGTCTCATATAGAAGTTCGATAGTATTTCATTTGATGATATGGAAATGCTTTTCTTTGTAAGAGTCGATTTTCCTGTGGAAGTCTGTAGTAGCAATGTTGTAACTAGAATTTTGTCATTGGTGTTTTGTTGGAAGTGTTATATTGGGGTTCCAATGTTCAACTTCAACTTCACGAAGAAGGGCAATATGTGTAAGGTAATACGCGCGAATTAGAGGAAAATAAACTTTCATGAAACACAAAGAGGAAGGGACATTTATTCATGGAACTCTAGGGAAATTATATTAAACCCAAATATATATAGTATACATCAAATATTCCCTTGTAAACCACCATTGGATGGCTTAGTGGTCACCTATGACTCTTAGGTGTATTATTTAAGAAGTTTTGAGTTCTATTCATTGGGGTTGTTAATATGGGTGACTGTTGAGGGGATTTACCCGATTGTCAATTTTAGGATCTCAGAGGATTAGTTAAGATGTGCATAAGTTAGTCTAGACATCTCAATCACAAGAAAAAAAAATTCCTTGTAAATCAGTATAATTTTTTTGAACCAATAAAGACTTTACAATTTCCTAGATAAGAGGAACTGAGGAAGTATACACATACTAATATGCCTTTTGTTGTGCGGTCAATCCGGAGAGGATAATTCTCTATTAGGAGAGAAGATATTTAAATTTGCTTAATTTAGAAGGAAGATATTCAGATTGACTTAGATTCCAACTAAGGTAGCCGAAGATCATGCAACTTTTTAATCATACGTATTTGAATCTTATCTCAACTCTATCATGTAAATGAGTGCTATATAAACCCATAATAACTTGTTTTCAAGGGAATTTGGCAATTGTTCTAAGCAAATTTTCCTAAGAATTATACTGTTCTTTATAAGCTCTTAAAAACAATAAGATAACAGTGAACGTAGGCTCAAGTTCTAACTTGCGGAACTACTTTAAAAATTTCTCTGCCATTTACTTTATTGCATTTATTATTCATCCACTGCTGGTTATCCGTAATTACGTGAACATCCATTCCGATTCCAACAGGGTCAATCTCATCTCTCTGGTTGGTGCAAATTTCTGTATCAACATTTTAACGCTAAAAGGAGGGCCTGATATAGCAGCTCTCCATGTTTTTCCCTCAAGTCTCAACTTCTTCAACAAATCCCAACTTCTTAATCTAGAATCACGTCATCAAATGTGAAAATTTGAGCAGGATAAAGTCTGAATCTGGCTAAGTGGTAAACACAAGAATTGTAGCCCTTCAAGTTAGCTTTTCGACGGTCCAAGAATCATTCAAATATAAGGTCTACGGCTCAAGTTATCATCAAGATATCGAAACATGTTTCAAATCAGAGTTCTCAGATCAAGTGGCCAGATTGGGCGCTTAGATAACTCTAATCTTCAGCTTAAGATCACGTGGTTAGATCGCGTGCTCAAATCTCTCAGATTAGAAAGAGCTCACTAGCTCTCTAACTCTCTAGCTCTCAAGCTCCCAAGCTCTCCAAGCTTTCTGATTGAGCAATGCTTTCAGATCAAGCTCTCTATGCTTTCAGATCAAACTCTTCATGCTTTCTGATCGACCTATGCTCTCAGATCAAGCTCTCCAAGCTTTGTGATCGAACAATGCTCTCAGATCAAGCTCTTCATGTTTTCTGAACGAGCTATGCTCTCAGATCAAGCTCCTCATGCTTTCTGATCGAGCAATGCTCTCAGATCAAGCTATGATCTCAGATCAAGCTATGCTCTCAGATCAAACTCGACAAGCTTTTTGATCAAACAATGCTCTCAGATCAAGCTCTCTAGGCTTTCTGATCGAGTCATGCTCTCATATCAAGCTCTCCATGCCTTTTGATCAAGTCATGCTCCCAGATCAAGCTTTCCATGTTTTCTGATCAAGCCATGCTCTTCGATCAAGCTCTCCATACTTTCTGATTGAGCCATGCTCTCAGATCAAGCTCTCCAAGCTTTCTGATTGAGCAATGCTCTCAAATCAAGCTCTCAATGCTTTCTGATTGAGCAATACTCTCAGATTAAGCTCTCCATGCTTTTTTATTGAGTCATGCTCGATCAGAAAGCAGATCAAGCTCTCCATGCTTTCTGATCGAGCAATGCTCTAAGATCAAGCTCTCTATGCTTTTTGATCGAACCATGCTCTCAAATTAAGCTCTCCATGCTTTTAGATCAAGCAATGCTCTTAGATCAAGCTCTCTATGCTTTCTGATCGGGCTATGCTCTTAGATCAAGCTCTCCATGCTTTCTGATCGAGCAATGCTCTTAGATCAAGCTCTCCATGCTTTTTGATCGAGCAATGCTCTTTGCTCAATCAGATCAAGCTCTCCATGTTTTCTTATCAAGCTATGCTCTCAGATTAAGCTCTCCAAGCTTTCTAATCGAGCAATGCTCTCAGATCAAGCTCTCCATGCTTTCTGATCGAGCTATGCTCTCAGATCAGGCCCTCCATACTTTCTGATTGAGCAATGATCTTAGATCAAACGCTCTATGCTTTCTGATCGAGTTATGCTCTCAGATCAAGTTCTCCATGTTTTTTTATCGAGCTATACTCTCAGATCAAGCTCTTCATGTTTTCTAATCAAGCTATGCTCTCAGATCAAGCTCTCCATGTTTTCTAATCAAGCTATGCTCTCAGATCAAGCTCTCCATACTTTTTGATCGAGCTATACTCTCAGATCAAGCTCTCTGCGCTTTCTAATCAACCTCCTTGCACTCTCAGATCGAGCTCCTTATGCTCTCTGATCGAGCTCCCTATGCTCTCAGATCGAGCTCCCTATGCTCTCAGATTAAGCTTTTTATGCTCTCTGATTAATCTCATAAGCTCGCTCATTCGCTTGAGATCACGTGTTCAAGATCTCTCAGATCTCTTAGATCACAGCAAGCATAATTCAAGTTCTTCAGTTTGAGACTGCAACCTATAGTGCGACAACCATCCAGATCAAAGACATGAGTTTTAGAAGCGCGATTACGCACTCAAAAAACTGGGGGGCTATTGTTGTGCAGTCAATCCAGAAAGGATAATTCCCTATTAGGAGAAAAGATATTTAGATTGACTCAATTCGGAAGGAAGATATTTAGATTGACTTAGATTTCAACTAAGGTAGCCGAAAATCATGCAACTTCCTAATCCTACGTATTTGAATCTTATCTCAACTCTATCATGTAAATGGATGCTATGGAAACCCATCATAACTTTTTTTCAAGAGGGCTAGGCAATTGTTCTGAGAAAATTTTCCTAACAATTATACTAATATTTGTAAACTCTAAAAAACAATAAAATAACAGTGGACGTAGGCTCAAGTTCTAACTTGTCGAACCATTTTAAAATTTTTTCTGTCATTTACTTTATTATATTTATTATTCATCTACTACTGATTATCTATAATCACACGCACATCTATTTCAGTTCCAACACGGTCAATCGAAATTCTCTGGTTGATGTAGATTTTTGTATCAAAACCTTTAAAGCTTGGTGTTAAAGTGGCACAACATTTTGATACAAAAGGAGTGAAACTCATAAAAGTATTCTAAATTTTCAAAAACAACTGCAATAGAACTCTAAGCATACAAACTGGATTTTGATACAAAAGGAGTAGAACTCGAAAAGTATTCTATAAATTTTCAAAAACAATTACAATAGCAGAACTCTAAGCATACAAACTTCAAACTTCTACGTGAGAAAATTGGCATGCTTAATCCAACTGCTTTATCTTATATTTTTTCTTCATAATTTAAAATCTACAGATAAATGTATTTTCATATATATTACTTAATCTGACCTGATTCCTACATAGGAGCTTATGCCAGTATATGATAAGCCACCAAAATATTTTATTGCCCGGACATGAAGTGCGAAGACACTGTAACTCTGGAAGTGCATTCCAACACTACAGGTACTAGGCTTCCAGTTGAAATAGAGAAATAATACTGTCACCCAATGCACACCTTGCCATAATCTATTAGAGAAATTATTGTTTTTTGCGGGGTAAAAATTGTTATGATTGCTTTTTCTTCTTCTCTAAGTATGCGTGGTTTCTTTGGAAGTTTAGCACTGCCCACACCAAGTGTGACAAACCAATCTCCGGCCACAATGCAGCTGGAGAATACAGTAGGCAATTACTGGTTTGCCAGAGAAGGAAATTGCTCAGTCGGGCCTCACCAGAACTTCGCAAAAGGATGTCAGGATCAGGAGCTACAGCCATGTACATGTGCTTCTCGATATCTACCAGATTTATTACACAATGCTGCCTTTGCATCTTCTCTCTCTCTTCAATTTCATCAACCAAACCATTGCCAATTCTAACCTTCGATGCTTGAGCTTCATCTTGATCATCACATAATTTTTCACCAGTACAATCAATTGCAACATTAATCTTATTAGTGCCATCAATTCCTTCAATCACACCATTGCAAGCTCCAGTTGCCTTTGGAGTTTGAGATCCATCCAATCTATCTTTGTAGGATTCCACAACATTAGGAACGACATTAGAAGTTTTACGTTCATTCAAAGCTTCAATTTCATCCCTTTTATGCTTACAAGACTCTTGAACTGCATGCACTATCTCATCACCTGAAGTATATGCTACACAGACTAAAAGCACCACCTTGCTGTTCTTTTCAGTAGCCCTCATCACCTTCTCTGCTGCAACCCTGACAGGCTCACTCAAAAGTTTTAACTTACCTATAAAATGCACTTTAATGCCATACCGGTTCACAATACTTTCTTCCTTGAGCATTGCCTGCATCTTCTCCAGCATTAGATCCATCAAGTCATGAACCTCATCAGGTTTTCTTTTAAAATTTTCAATGCTAAAGGCATAGATTGTCACATATTTCACCCCTAATTCATAGCAATACTTGAGTAAAGACATGAGAGATGAATACCCAGCTCTATGGCCAGCCCCTTCTTCCAGATTACACTTCTTAGCATACCTTCGATTTCCATCCATGATAAAGGCAAAATGATTCGGAATAGGACCCACAGAAAGAACACGGAACAAGCATCTTCTCAAGAAAGTATTCAGACCACTAAACAGCTGATTTGCAGTACCACCATCATCATATTTTTCCATTTTAAAACCCTTAACCGCTATCTTCTAAGCAACCTGTTTCAGAGAAAACTAATGATCAATTGACATTGGTACCAAATTACTATCTATCAACATGTATAGAGAGCAGAAAAAGAATGATGATTAGAAACCAAACCCCATTGAGAGCAATAACTAATATAATGTCTGTCCTATTCCGTAGCATCAAAAACTCTAGCCAGTAGCCCATCGACGAGCCATAGACAAAGGAGTCATATCACACATGCATACAATTTGATTCTGTCGTAACATGCGGATTGATCTATCTCATAAATATTACATGATCATAGAGAAAATAAAAGTGAAAGTTAACACATGCAATTAAAGTTAGTGTAAACTAAGGCTAATATGACTGAAGCAAAAAAATACCCATCAAAGAAATAGCAACAACGACTAACAACTCCTGCAAAGTCATTCAATTTAATCAAGGGAAGCTAAACAAATCCATTCACTGCAGCATTTTAACAAACACAAGTGAGGGCTTGAAAAGACTACATAAATAAACCCAGAAAACAAAAACCAGAAACTCACAGAGGAATATAATATCGATGGCCGTTGATTCTTAGATTCAAATAAAGATCAAGATGCTGAAGAGCATCCGAATCAGCGTTAATCTTTGGTCAGACAGTTCAATAATGAAGGCTGAACACCACTGAAGAATAAGAGAATAAACTAAACACAAAAAGCATAAACAAAATAGATAAAGACAAAACACTTGTTTAACGAACAGAGGAACCGGTTCAGACTTAAACAAATAGAAAAAACGATTAAGCATGCGCATTACGAGTAATTTAATACCGGCGGCTCTGTGGTGGCGGGAAAGAAAAGGTATTATTTCATGGGCCCAATTTAAATGGGCCTTCCTAAATTTCTAGGTCCGCGCACTTTTCGCACTACTATTACTAGGCTTATTAGTGGTAATCGATCGGTGAGCGTTGTAGCTTTGAACAAAGGGACTCGATAATACAACTAGAGTGGTGCTATGGGTACTAATGGATGGGTACTAATCTGTGTACTAACTAAAGCATAGTACCCGTATTATGCGCATAGTACGGGTACTATGCTTTAGTTAGTACACAAATTAGTACCCATCCATTAGTACCCAAAGTATTATTCATACAACTATCCAATCATGTGGCGCGTGGGTGTCACTACGTCAGACACACGCAAACTGATGTGACACGCACGTATTGGAGGGTTGCATAGTTGTACGTGGTAAAGTAGATTTTTTTATGCTATTATTTTTATTTTATTTTTTCGGGAAATTATTTCGTTTTAAATTATATTATTGAAATTTTAGAAGAGTAATGAACTATTTGTAAATTATTTATTAATTACCCTTATAAAAATTTTACACAAAAGAGCAATGTTTTTAAAACCTAACGCAGTCCAACCCAGTCTGGTCAATTGAACCGGTTCAACCAGGACTTTAGGCCTTCATTAGGTCGAGTTAGCAATTTTCTGATTTATCGAAAACCCTAGAAATTGAGACGGTGATTGGCAAACAATTGAAGGTCAGGATGTTGGGACTTTTGATAAGGAATAGCTGGTAAGTGCAATGGTGGTGACAGAGGTGATTTCTGGTAAGTGAATCGATCAAAAATCAAAGAAAAATTCGTGGGGACAACAACCGACTTTTGCCCGTGATTGGCAAGGCGAACGGGGATGGTGTGAGATGGTTTTGGTCAAGAGGCTGAGAGAAGTATTTTCATGGTGATGGGGAGGGTTGTTGACGCCGACGGTGGTGAGATATGGCCTGGGTTGTTAACTCCTACAATGGCAAGATTTAGTCGAAATCGAATCGATTTCGGCTATGAGGAATGGCTTAGTGGATGATTGGGATTGCATTTGGTGTGTCATCGCCGCCAACCAATCGACCGCCGATTTATATTTGAGGTGTGATTGCTAAATTTAAGACCTATAAAGTCTTCCTTGTAATTTTCAATGGTGTAATTGCTGAATTTTAAATTTTTGACCACCGGATTTGACTGGCTTGTCAAATCGATCAACCTTGGACTCGATAACTTTGCCCCCAGGTTGGTTATTAAAATATTGCCAAAGACCACTAAAAATTACAATTTAGTCTAATAATGAAGATAATAGTTCTATGAGTACTACTACACACATAACATTTTTTCACAAATTTTCTCTCACAACTCCGACGTGACAGCTTACAATTGATCAACTGTAATTTATTAAGTGGGTCTTATTGTAAACTGACTAATTACAAGCTGTCACGTTGAAAATGTAAGAAAAAATTTGTGAAAAAAGTTATGAATGTAGTATTATTCTAGTTCTATACATAATTTTCAGTGATGTATAGAGCTATCAATAACTATTATCTTCATTAGTAGAAATGAGAACAATAAATACGCATTTAATTTGTTTTCCTTTAGAAATGGACCACAACATTATTTGAAGTTGCCAATGTTGAAAGTCAAGAAAAATATTAATCAACAGTATTATTACATAAAGCCCCTCAAATAATCAGTTAACTTTTCACACTCATTATTATTGAAAAGTAGTATATAAAACCCTCTGATACTATCAAAATCACCCTATAATTATTAAAACCCCAAATAAAAGCCTCTGATAAGGAGCATGCCATAATAATCCATATTAATACATCAAACAACAGATGAGAAGTTGCCAGTATTGAATATGAGCAGAATTAATACACAAAACAACAATGAAAAATCAAACTCCATCAGTAGAGATATTCACCCTTGTGAAAATTGATCTCAACAAGAAAGATAACAATCAAAATCCCAGCATAGAAAGTCATTTCAAAGCCCCTTCCCAACAATTAAACAACTGATAAATTGCCCTATAAACGATCTAAAAACAGCGCTACAAGCAGCATCACTCGAGTTTCCTTTCGAGATCACAACGCACAAGTATTTGATTTTCATCCATGGATACAAAAGAAGTTGCCAAGTAATAGTATAACTTGTTAAGTTCTCGTCTCACCTAAAAGCTTAAGCTTATCAGTGAACACTTAACATATTACATATATTAAACTAATAGGCCTTCTCACGTCAAACTTGGATTTTTTTTCATTTTCTTTATCCAGTTTGTATGTGGGGATTCGAACTTGAAACCTTCGGCTCTGATACCATGTTAAGTTGTCATCTTACCTAAAAGTTTAAGCTTGTAGATGAAAACTCAATATATTACATATATTAAACCAATATAACTTTTGGCGATAATGCCAATTTGACACAGCCTAGTCATAATATCAGTATTCAGTAACATTAGCAAAGGAGAGTTTTGAGACTATTAGGTTTATGAATGGCCCAGATTTAAGTAAAGACATTCAAATTTTTGACATAACGTATATACACACACACATGGATTACTCAACTTTTCAGCCTGTGTGCTGCACAAATAAGAAATGCAGATAAAACTGAACAATTGAGATTTCTCCAGAACCTTCACATTTACATCAGACAATAAATTTTCTGGTTTTACTACATAATCTCAGGGAGCACACATGCTTTTGTAATAGACAGCTAAAAGAATGAAGGTTGATAAAGTAACAACTTATAGAAGAGAAAAGGCATACATGCTTTTGTCCCAATGTAAAATTTTGGGTTTTGTCTTGTTACCTTTACGTGTGATTCATTTTCGAGCTCATGTTTTGACACGGTGCTTTGAGTGAAGGGGTGAACGAAGATGAGAAGGTGGTTGAGCACCGTGTTTAGTAGTAGGACGTGAAGAGCTAAACACTTTCTTTGGCTTTTCCTTAATTGCTTCAAAACGTTCCAAAGTTTCCACAACTTCTTTCATGGAGGGACGGTGTTTAGGATCTGCCTCTAGGCATTTTAGAGCAAGCTGTGCTGCCTGTTGTGCTGCCTTGGTTGAGTATTGGCCCTCTATCCGTGCATCCATTATGGTTTTCAGCTTCTTTTTCTGAGAGAGCATTGGCTTCATCCACTCAACCAAATTTTGCTCTCCAGTGGGGCGTTTTGTATCAAGTGCCCTTAAACCCGTCAACATTTCGAGCAGCACAACTCCAAAGCCATATACATCACTCTTAACATACAAATGACCTGTTGCATAATGATGAAATCCCCAGTTAATCAATTTATTTAACCAAAAAGAGTTAGATTCTTCCTAATTTTTCACAAGTAACTCAGAATGGTCCACTTAAACACCTGAAACAAACATAAATATCCAAAATTCTTAAACATATATCTTGAACAGTGTATAGTATTTCCAAATTATATAGAGATATAATTACCCGTTGCAATATATTCTGGAGCAGCATAACCATATGTGCCCATAACCCTCGTTGTGACATGGGACTCTCCACCAGCAGGCCCCAATTTCGCCAAGCCAAAATCTGATATTTTCGCATTGTAGTTCTGTTAAAGAAAACAACACAAGGAAAGAATACCCAATGTTGTTAGAATACTTATATAAGGAAAGATTATCTAATGAATACATGCATATATTCTGTAAAGCAACAGATCATTGATTCTTTTCCTCCCGTCATAAGACTAAAGGAAGACGCCACAAAAAAATTGTCAACAACAAGATATCAAGCTACTCTTGATTCGACACCTCACACAAAGCCAGAGAACCAGCAGCTGCAGCAAGGCCGCAGCTTCAACTTTCTCAAAAAATGGCTAGCGGATTTAAGAAACACTTGAAGAGGCTAAATGTCCCCAAGCATTGGATGCTTGACAAGCTTGGTGGTGCATTCGCACCCAAGCCATCATCTGAACCCACAAGTCCAGGAAATGCTTGCCATTGATCCTTATCCAGCAAAACAGGTTGAAGTATGCTTTGACATACCGTGAAGTTATTGCCATCCTCATGCAACGACATGTTCTTGTTGATGGCAAGGTTAGGACAGATAAGAACTATCCTGCTGGATTCATGGATGTAGAGTCTATTCCCAAGACAAATGAGAACTTCCGACTCCTTTATGACACGAATGGTTGCTTCCGTCTTCACTCTCTCAGGGATGACGAGCCAAAGTTTAAGCTTTGCAAAGTCAGATCTGTTCAATTTGGACAGAAAGGCATCCCATACCTTAATACCTATGATGGACGTACCATCCACTACCCTGACCCACTCATCAAGGCTAATGACACCATCAAGCTTGACCTAGAGACCCAAAAGATCACAGACTTTATCAAGTTTGATGTTGGGAATGTTGTCATGGTTACTGGGGAAAGGAACAGAGGTTGTGTTCGAGTAATCAAGAACAGGGAGAAGCATAAGGGCAGCTTTGAGACCATCCATATTCAGGATGCCACTAGTCATGAGTTTGCAACTCGTTTGGCAATGTGTTCACCATTGGTAAGGGAACAAAGCCAAGGGTATCAAGTTGTCTATCATTGAGGAGGCTAGGAAGAGGCAGGCTGCCAAGCTGCTGTTCATTTACATTAGTTACTGTTTGGTGGATATTATTTTCGTATGACTTGATCTTTTATCTAAGCAGTTGTATGAATCTTTTAAATCATTTTTGGTTAAAAAAAAAAAGAGCTACTTCTGATTCAGAATATGTTATAATCTAGTCTGCATTTCAATCAAACCCTATTTCCAAGCTAAAATAATAAATAAATAAATAAAGAAGGGAAAAATGAAATCTAGAATTGAAACTGTCATATCATTCTCAAATATCTATCATATTTCAAATTATATTGCACTAATTCTATGTTTTTACTTTTAACACTAAAATAGACTTAGATAAAAGGGCAAGAGTCAGATCAAAAGCAACCCCATCAAGCAGTATATTTGAGGCCTTGAAGTCTCGGTAAATGACTTTCTTCTCTGAAGCATGTAGAAAAGCCAGTCCTTGAGCTGCTCCGATGGCAATTTTAAGCCGAATATCCCAAGATAGTGGTTCAATGGAGGGATTTCCTGCACAACAAAGCAATCCAACAATCAATACCCAAATTCATGAATGCACATTTTTTTCTTTTTTTATTTTTTTAGCTAACTTTGTGTTTAATTTGCTTAACCTCTTACTTCTGAAAAGATGATTTTCCAAACTTCCCTTCTGCATGAACTCGTACACAAGGAGCAGCTCTTTATCCTCCCAACAGTATCCCAATAGCTTGACAAGGTTGGGATGAGAAAGTCTTCCCAGAAAGTTAACCTCTGACTGCATAAAAGAAAATAAATTACATTATCATCAAATTAAGGAGCATATTTAGAACATGTTATTCAAAGAACGCTTCTTAAACCAATTTTTATGTCTAATCTAGTTTGGAGAGTGCCACTGGCCTTGCATTATACAGATCAATTAAAGGCAGCAAATATTCTTAAAAGTAATTAACATTAAGCAAACACATATCACAATTATCAGCCTTGGAATTTTAGCAATGCAGCCAAGTAATGCTTTGTGGGACCAGCAGCCTTTATCTAAAGCCCAATCACAGTGGGAAATGATTGAAGGTTGTTGCCAACAATACCAGCACTTCTTTTTTTTCTTTTCTTTACTTTGAATTCTTTCTGAAATTCTTCGAAATTCTAAATGTGGGTGATTAAAAAAAAAACAAATTTTAAAATTCAAGATGAATACCTGCCATTCTTGATACCCTTGCATACTTTCTGGGTTCAATTTCTTGATGGCAACCACCATTCCAATACCACTTTTAGAAGGAGCTAATGTCTTCTCATCTATCCAACCTTTGAAAACTTTCCCAAAACCACCTTCCCCTAACAAAGTATCAGACTTGAAGTTCTTAGTTGCAACCTTCAAATCTGCAAAACTGAACACTTTCAAGTTTGGCGTCTCCAAAATTTGCCCATTTGCACTTGCCTCCTCTCCACCTTCACTAACAGCCTCAGAAAATTGACTTTTGCCTGCACTACTACTAGTGACTGATATCTCTGTAGTGTGGCTATAATTATTTGACAGACCTAACAGAATTCCAAAAAGACTGAGTTAATAAACCATTCCATCAAAGAATAAATAAAAACTCGAACCAATCTAACTAAACAAAACTATAATTTTAAGATATTCAATCATAAATTCAACAACCTGGGGTTGTAGGATTGTTGATGGAGGTGTTACTAGGAGTAGTAGGATTAGCCTCTTTGGAAAAAGATCCCCAGCAATTACCCATGTCAAACTAGAGCTGCTTTTGAAAGATATTTGAAGAACAAAAGCAGCATAATTTAGAGAGAATTTGTGTGTTGTGTTGTGTTGAGGCGTAATATAAGGTTGAGGTCAAAGCTTGGAAAGATCAGCCAAAGAGGCTAAGAGGAGGCTAAGATGAAAAGTAGAAAAATGGAAAGGGGATTTTAAAGCCTTCTTTTTGGACAATAGACTACAGTACTTTCTTGTTTAGACACTTAATTTCCTTGAGTTTACCATGTACCCACTTTCCTGTTTCATAATTTGTCCTGTCTTGTGTTCTCTTGTCCAATTTTTAATTTTTTATACACAAAAATGTTAACAACTACAACCTTTTGCGTTTAAAGACCAACGAATTTCCTGTAGCAGTCAACTGCCGTGTCTCTCGGAGCTTTTAAATGTGTCCTTGTCACCTTGTGAACATTAAGCATAGAGCCTTGAATACTATTCAACTAATCCATTATTTATTTACTCCTTTCATTAATAAAACATATGAAAATTTCTAAGCTTTGAGTTTCATGGACGAAAACCAAAAACAAAACTGTTAAAAATGAAGAATCTTTTTGTGAAACTTAAAACAAACAACACTACGTTGTAATTCTGAAGGAATTTTTATAAACTAATATGGAACCCATTAGTTTATTTTGATTCATGGTTCCAATTTTTGTCAAACAGCATGCTAGATGAAGCTGGATTGACAGCTATTGATGATGGTTACCTGCCATTAAACAAATAAATAATTTTCTTTGTATAGTTTAATGGAGGAGAGAAGGAGATGGGGTCTACTAAATTGAAGAAAGTCAAACAACCGTGGCTCCTTTACAGGTTCAATGGAAACGTGATTAGCAAGTGCAAAATGTTGCTGACTGTGAGCCTAGGTTAAGCAGTTGCATGGCAACTTCAAACTCAGTACATCAATGTCAAATTTTTCTGGGTTTACATTTGCATTAGTCAGAGGCCTCGTTTGAGCTTTCTCGTGGAAGATTTTCTCCTTCCTTATCAGCACCATGGAAGCTTCCCGTTCCTGTTTTAGAAGTAAAACTTGTAGAGGGTTAACTTGAAAATGTTGTACAACTCTTTTGTAGCGTATTGAAATAGATTAGAAAGTGTAGGAACATAAGATCCTTTCAATATTCTCTGAAATCTCTTTTTATTTTCCTACATTTCCCACATGGTTACGAATCACTTCAAATCTAAGGAAATCAATAAAGATCCTCTTGTATCTTTATTGATTTGAATATACATTCTAACATTCTATATTCAATAAGGCTGACATTGGATCCGTGGAATACTGGTCAATTTAATTAATTTCTTAATTGCAACTGGGTTGACTTGAGAATGTTAAATGCCAACATTAAGGAACTATTTTGATAGATAAATTGAGAACCCACAACTTGAAGTTGAGATAAGATCTGTAATTTGACACAAAATATTAAAGATATCAACTATATCATATGAAAATATCAGTATATTAAGTGGGAATGTGTTATTATTTACTTAAACGTAGATTGGAAATGGTTAAATAAAGCTTCACATGGTGTCATGCGCTGTAAGTTTCACACCTAAAAGGCTAATCAATTAATTGAAAGGACTCTCTCCTTATAAGTCCAAGATCTCTCCAATGCACTTTCAATGTGGGATAATGACATTCTCCTCTACCTAATCTTGTGATGCTAGTAAGGCCCTTTACTTACTCGTCTATCTCACTCTCGAGTGAACTCATTATCACACGTGGAGATTGGGTCTGTTCTGATACCATTACCACAGACTGAAAGTTTCACATACAAAAGGCTAACTCATTAGGTGGAAGAACTCCTCCTTATAAGTCTAAGATCTTTTAAATGCGCTTCCAATATAGGATCCGTGACCATGGACAACCCAGTCTTGTTCATTTTGGTTTCTCATTTTAATATCATTTTGGTTAACCAAAATAATATTAAAATGAGAAAACTAATTCTACCATAGAGCTGAATAGCTTGCAATCTCATTTGGGTGGATCGTGTAATAATAAAGATATTGACCCTTCCACCAGTCTATTAAATGCTTCTAAGAAATGAAACCAAGTTGTGCACCTCAAGTTGACCTCTGTAATGTATAATTCAAAATGGTGCTCCTTCCATTTTGTCCTAACAAGCACCAATTTATAGAAGTCTTACCTACTTATTGACTTCAACAAAAGAGCAAAAAGGGTTTCGAAACAGGTGTTGAGGGTCCCAACTCCCAAGTCACCACGCTGAGATAAAAGAAGACCAGCAGACGCAAGTGAAAGAAGCATTCATACTTGGAAGAGAACTGCACAGCACCATTCTGTAAATATACAAGCAGTTTTCATGATGTCACATGATTCTTCTAAAATGGGGTAGATCCGTAGATATGTTGATGGACATAATTTATGCGCATGAATGTGATCCACGTTTAGCTGGAGAGAAACACTTAGACCAGGCTCAACCAAACTGCTGCTCAACCCTGAATGTGTTTCTGGCAGATTAAACCACCATTGATGACTAAAATTGAAGTATATGGGGCTCTAAAACATATAATCTCATTGATATGGAATCAACTCAGAGAACAATTCCAAAAATCCAGCTAGAAGCGCGATACAAGCCATATAATTTACCAATAGGTGAAGATTTGTACATATGGGAAAGTTTGGTGATCATACATGTCCTAAAAATGACAAGTTCTTCATCCTCTAATCTACGTCTTTTCACAGTTAATGTTGACTGAGAGAGACTGCGACTAGTCCTGCTTTTTTAGAAGTCTAGCTTTGTGCCTTCTCTTGAAAATGTCTTGCCTGAATTTCTTGGTTTCACTTTGTATCTCCATGAAGGGTTTCCTCTCTATGCTTTCCTTTTCTTCCTCCAACATTTGCCGCCTCTTTGCAACTGCCGTGGCTGCAGCCTGATCCTCTTGCTGATGTCGTCCCGCCTCCTGCATACATTTGTCAGTAAACAAGCATGACTATACATTTGACACCGGTATGAAAATTCTCTTTAAGCAGGCATTTCTGAGTTAGATATGTATGCATATGCTATCAATTTGTATACTGCAGTGCATGGCATTCAACAGTTTAGAGGTCTTAAAAAAAATTACAATATGATTCAGCAGCTGGAATATATTCTTTGGTTAAGCATTACATTCAAATATCAGCTATTTCAATTTGCTATGCTGAAACTTCGATATGGTCACAATAAAAATCATCTAGTCGATCTAAAGGTAGTTTGGATAATGGTGGGGCATGTATGATGTATCACATTTAAAAGTCCATTAAAATCCCTTTTTCAAAATGCAAAAGTGTAAGAAGCATATTAATTGAGTCAAGTCAAAAAGATATCATATGAAGGACAATTTAAACAACAATGGGAAAGAACAGAAAAAGACCTGGAGCTCATTAATTAGACCATCAAGGGATTTGATCTTCCTATGTGGCCAACGGGGAATACCAAATTCTCTGCACTTCTTCTTTAAAACCGTGAGGCCAACTTTCAAGTTTCTCGAAGCTTCTAGAATTGGAAGATCGAAGTATTTAACGAGATCTTCCAAAGCAATTCTAGCAATATCTTCAGAGGCTGCCCTTTTCTTCTTCACCACAATACCTGAAACTTTTTACCACATTTGTACAACATCATACTTATAGCATAAATACTTGAAAAGTACCCAAGTACAACTCTTTAATAGTTTTTAGAACTAGCAACACTACTATCTGCCAACAATTAAAAGAGCAACTAGCTTATTCATCAAACAAAACCAAGTAATTGATATGATTATAAAGAAAAAGCAGTTGGTTAACAAGAAAGCTTTGGGAAAGACCTGATGCACATTCTTCAGTTTCTTGACTCCCAGAATATTCGCTGGTTGTTGCTGAATTAGGAAGAGAATTAAGATCCTGATCAAACTCATGGGTACTTCTCTGAGACAGATGGCAATGCTCTTGGTTTGTTTCATCCATTGCCTGCTCTGTAAACTGTGACAACTCCAGATCTCCTGTTCTGCTGCTCAATTGAAAAATTATTTGGAGATCATTGGCCAGCTTTGGAATTGACTTAAGCTTCGAATTTCTGAATGTGAAAGAACTAGAAAAATTTAGCACTTTGCACACACATGTCAGCAATACTATTTGCATAAACGAGTCTAACAAACCAAAATCAGCACTAATACATTCCTCGAAACCTAAAACTACCATCATTTTAAACAAGGGTTTGTATAGATTCTTTGAAATGCTACTAAAAAGATACAATAAGTTCAATGTAGAAATCACATCCCAATGTAGACAGAAGTAATCATAACTACAAAAACTGAACCTTGAAACCCAGGACACCACATCAATGCTATATATATACACATACATACATATACGTATATCTACAAGGAAGCTATTTCACCCAAAAAAAAAAAAAAAATTGCAAGAAAACATAAAACGTCAGCCTTGAGAAAAAGGAATAGATATAACTATAAGTAATGCCTCCAGAGAGACAAATATATACTTCAAGCATAACTAGTTTCTGGGGATGAAAGATGGCTAGACAACAAAATGGGTTTTAATTGAAATGCATGATTCAAAGCACACCCATTTAGGGTATAATATTTAAACATAAACTCTCTGTAACCGAAATTCCAACTTTACAAATATAGATAAACAAATAGAAGCCTTTGCATGTCTTTATAACAGATTAATCATCAGCAAAAGACAAATGATACCTTGAAATTAATAGTACAGGAGGAATGTTAATCGAAGTAGGAGAAGAATCAGCATGAAATGCGAAAAGACAGAGCCACAAACCAATGACTCGGCCTTCAAACAGCTCAGAAACTTGAAATCCTCGCAATCTAAGAAGTGGGGTGGCAGCCATTTCAACATACGAACCTCTTTTCTTGAACAAAAACTCTCTCTCGACCTGTTTCTCTTTTCCGTCTTTCAATCGGTAGACATGCAAGCTCCTTATCAACTCTGCAAAGTAAGCACAACCCCAAGAAGGAAACACAATAAAAACCAAAACTTTGATGAAGAAACGATACAAATCTCAGTTTTTGATTAAAAAATACTAGTTTTGAAAAACAAACAAAAGTGTTTTTAACTGTTTTTGAGTTACCTTTGTTGATGGTGTTTTCAAAGACAAAGAGAGCAGAAATGGAAGGTTGCTGAATAGAATCCATGAGAAAGAAGAGATCATTATGATCAAATAATAAGCATTGAAATGAAAAACAATGGACTGAAGAAGAGAATGGAGAGTTTAGAAGAAGAACAACAACAACAACAAGAAGTGTGCATGATTTCTGTCTTCAAGCTGGTTTCACTTCCCATAGCCAAGCATAAATAAACAGATTGCTTTGTATTTTACCTTTTTTTTTTTTTTTTTATAATTTTTGCATTAAATTAAAATAATATCCATCAAGTAGTCAATGTAAATTGGACCAATTTGGTGAAACATGATGAGTAATTTCTTTTTCCTTTTTCTTAAATTAAGAACATTAATTAATTAAGTTTAATAAAAAAAACTATTGAGATTACCAAAAACTCCTCGTAAAAGTCTGGAAAACCCTTTATCAAGAAAATTCAATAGTTTAGAAATATGGTTAAACTTTTGGGAAATGAAATAATAAATTGTGAAGGCAGGAAAGGACCGAAGGACAAAAAGGGTAGTTTGGGGAATTAAATTTGAACAAACAAGAATCCGAGGATTAAATATTGTCTTGTACCGAAGTATTAACACTCTTTTACCTTTGGTCTCTTTCAGGCGTTCCAAATTCCAATAAAAGCCATCAGACAATTTATTTATTACTGACGATTCAGTTACCAGATTACCCCTATCAAACCTGTTCAAAAATTCTCCTTCTTGAGTTCTGATTTGCTGTCATTGACTTAATTGTGAGGGGTACTTTTGTCCAAATGCAAAACAATCTGTTCACGAAAGCCGTACCAACTACCTTCGGCGCATGTCTGAGAAGTGGCAAAGGAAGTTAAAGTTATGACTACATTTGACATCTATTTTACACAGAAATAACGAATGTGCCACTGGGCTGCTTGTTCGACCGGTATAGTGACGTAGGACGCTGTTTGACAGTTAGAAAACTGAAGCCCATGAGCCCTCCACTCTTTAAGAAGGGAGAAATAACAAAGGAAATTTGAGTCCTGATAATCATTGTTTTCGGCCCGGCCGGTTAGACGAAACCCGACCGGTGAGCATGGCCAGGAGAGTCTCAAAACCGGGGGAGTCATTTCACCCAGAGTTGGTTATGAGGAGGAAGAAGAAGATGAAGCAGCCGCTGCCCCCTGTGTTTTATTTGAGGATTTATTAACTTTTAAGGGCTAAATCATGCTGACATCAAACACCAGTCTGATCCACCAGTTCAACCACCCAACCGGAGACCCAATCCCTTTCCCGTGTTTCACCTCGGCTTGAGTTTTAAAACATTGCCGATAATAAGAATACAAACCATAAGTCTGACTATTCAACTAACAAATTTTCATCTTAGAACTATTATTGAGCGGTTTTTATCTTGTTCGTAGTTCAAGATTTTGTGGTATATTCATCTTATGTATGGTTTTCTAATGAAAATCATCTTCTGACCAACTCTTAATGGCTAGAAACTACAATATGCACAAAAACTATCCTTCCAATTTCTCTTTAGTGAAAAAAAAAAAAAATGTGTTCATGTACAGAGTGATAAAAGAGTATTAATGTATCCATGCAGCAAGGAACACAAATACAACACAGAAAATGTCAACCTGATTGGTGTTCCGCTGTTTTGCAACAGAAATCCAGAAGCAGGGCGTTACTATCAGTAACTTCAAGGAAAGAATCCTTTCCTGGTCAGTTTCTTTGCCAAGTTCTGGAAACGGATATAAAAAGTGCCCAAGTTCTATTTCTAGTGCTTTCAAAATCATGAAAACGAAACAAACAGGCTGTCGATCACGGGCAACAGTGTCTGAAAGAGTGGCCGCATTTCATAAGCCATATTAGCTCTCCAACTATTGAAACTAATTTAATGCTTTTGGTATGATAGATAAACCAATAGAGAGCAGAAAAAGTACTTCAGGTCTCTAGAGTAAGGCCAGCATCATCCTCACAGTTCTCAGGTGAAGTGGTCTCTGGAAAGAATTCTTCATTTGGATATATCTTGTGGAATAGCTATCAATTAATAGTACCAAATTTCAATCAGCATCCCAAATTGTAAAAAATTTTACAATCCTAGTAAATAAAATCCACAATATGACAACCCGGTGAAAGAAAAACAGAGAAAGCTTGCTAACAGGAATGATACGGAATTTACAAGTAAAATATTCAAAGTTTACGAAGTACCTTCTCAGTAGTGTCCAAAAGATCAGTGTAGTTCAGATTTCCGTCTGGCATTATAGTTGAGCTAATAGATCCATATTGACCCTGAAAATGAACATAAAAACCTTATCAAACATTAACATTATCCACAAACGAAATCCCCCTAAACCCACTCAGCTTTGAAAGCAAAAGGTTGGATCCCCAAAATAACCATCTAACCTAGAGATCTTTTCACAAAAAGACACAGAGAAAATTAAAAGGTAACAAAACATAAAAACAGATGATATTAGTACCAATTATAGAAAGAAAGAAGTTCAAGAAAAAGTGAAGATGAGAAATATACCATTACGAGATCCTGAACATACAATGCACTCCAAAGTATAGTGGGTTTTACTTCTTCTGCATCCCTGCCTTGAATTGTCAAGCTACTTTCAGCATTTTCAGAATCAAGAAGTTTCTGGAGAGCATTCAAGGTTGCATGTAGCAACTTCTTTCCTTGATCGGCATCAGCACACAAAGCTGAAAAATACAAGACAAACCTGAGCAAGAAGAAAAGCAAAAAATGTGAACTCAAGTATCACAAAATTTCTGAAAAGAAGCAGGAAGAGTTATAAAATTCATTGTAAAAATAGAAATTAGAAAGGCATTACAACTATTTTTATCTGCTTGAAGACAAAGAAAAACTTACATGCCCGAAGGACAAACAGCTAAACTGCCACCAAGCTGAAGAACTCGGATTGCAGCAACCTGCTCTGGAAACAAAGCTACAGCGAGAGAAAAAAGAAGAAATAGTTAAGTCAATACTTTTTGTGTTGATTTCAAGTCTTCTGGATAGCATATACAAAAAAGCATAAAAAAATTATCTTACATTTAGGAGGATACACCACCATAAAATTTGGTAGATTTGGTTTCAAAGAACTCTTGGTGATGCATATTCCCCTAGACACCTTCTTATTAACATCTGTGGGATTATAAGCTAGTAAACATTCTGGCAATTGCTCAGATGGAGGAGTTGCTAATGTTCCTGGAACTGTAAAGGATGGATCTAGGACCAGCTTGTTGCTGAATATATCTTGACCTGAAGCTAATCTAACACCTTTATAGGATCCACTATCCTGCAATGTTTCCAAATAAGAATTTACAATTCATTTCCTTATGAAAAGTAGCCATACTGAGTTTATTTCAAGTAACTACTCCAGAACAATTTTTCCCTTGCAAAAGAATGAATAAATAAATCGTAAGTAAACTTTGTACCTCGTCCTTAAGCAGAGAAATCACTGGCATACGCAAAACCTGTATCATAGAGTTTCAGAGGAAGATAAGAATATTAACTCAGCAAAACTACAAGCATGCAACAGAATAACTCCACTTCAAAAAAAAATTAATATTGCCTAATAAATAAACACGTTTCAATTTTTTCCTTTGCAGGGTATCAAACACCCAGTAATTTTGCAAAAAGATCAGACACATTAACTCAAATTGGAATTTGAAAAGAACCACAAAATTAAAATCTAAAATAAAATTATTTGCAGGGTTTCCTTTAAATTACTAAAGCTATGAAATTTGGTTTCTAGATACCCTTAAACTTGTTAATCAATGAACATACTGCTACAGGGAACAAATATGGCAAATCATACACACAAAGACATCAATTAGGTACTTCATGTTCCAAACCCAATGCTCTAGTACATTTAACTTGATATCCAAAGATCTTCCCTAAGTTAGTCTTACTTACCTGATCCCACCCCCATTACTGCAAATATTAGATCATTAATTCTTACCATGTTATTCCCTATTATAGGCATGATATGTAACAACACTACGTAATCATGGCAACCCAATAAAATCAACAACAACAAAGGCTGCATGAAAGATAAAGAAAAAGGCATCTTTTCAAACTTACATAAATACAACCTTTGACAGCTGCACGACGACAAAATGCTTGTGGTAGCTCCCCTTGCCCATAGATAGGATATATCAAAGCCCCGAGTGCATTTTGAAACCTAAACAAGGCAGTAAGAGATGAGCTGCAAATGGCCAAAACTACAAATAATAAATAAGGCAGAGCATTAACTCTACGACTAACCTGCCAACAGATGAATTGTAGAGAGCTAATCGATTTATTCCATCTTTTGTCTTTAGTACGTCTTTACTACCCTCTGTATTTTCTTGATCATAATCTGCCATCGCAATTGCATAGAGAATCATCCTACAAAACCAGAAACTTGAAGAAACAATCAACAACTTACAAATGGAAACAAATAAAATAGAAGAAGGAAATTCTCACGAGCAGGAGATGACCGTACGATTTAATCTTCTGTGGCAACTTCATTGTCGTCAAAAATTCAACAAATGGTATCTCCAAATCCTCCTCTGAGATTTTCATGCTATTGTCTTCATGCTCATTTTCACTCAAGTGTCCCTGAACAAGCTTAAAGAATCTCATCAATTGATTCTTCTCCATCAACCCCAAACTTTTGTCCTTAAATATTGCTGCACGCGAATCTGGCACGCTCCATAACTTCCCATCACCATCCCCCACAAAACTGGCATCAATACTTTTGAATTCAACATACTGACTCGCCCCCGATTTTAACATCAAATCCACTGATTGATCGGCACAAAATAAAACCCTAGGTCCCGATAAATCTAAATTAAATTTTCTAGAGTGTTCATTGAGAAGTTCAGGAGCTGAATTAGAAATCTCTACTTCAGAGTAGAGTGGGTGGGTGGTGAGATCATGGTCATCAGAGGAAACAGTAGAATGGGAATTTAGGAAGGAAGTAATGTCTGGGATGGAAAGGGAGGCAAAGTGAGATCCATAGAAAGGGTTAGGGTCTAGGTGAAGGACAGATTTCCCAACGGCTGATGCTGCAGCAGAAATTACAGATTCTGGTAAGCCAGTTCCAATTATAATGAGGTCAAATGTGGTGGGCTCGATCGGAGGGTACGGTGGGAGGTCACTCATTGTGTCAATTCTAGAGTTATTTAGTTGCCAACGATATACACTCTGAGCAACTTTGATTTTCTCTAGGGTTTCACTAGCAGGACTGAGATGTCTTCTTATTGCTCTAATAACATTTCATTTCCAGCAACACAAGAATCTGAGTACAGGGCAGTACCTAAGCATTTGAATGGATTTGTAAACTGGGTTAGTGTTTACAAAATATAACGACTAAAATGAAAAGACTCCCTCTTCAGCAGCATAAAATTTTCTGCCATATTTGCGGACTTTTATATTTCACTTCGAAATTAACGAGTTGAAACTAAAATTTTCTCAACCAACTAATAAAAAGAAACTCAATATAGCGCCCCTTGAGATACTAAATTTCAAATTAAATATATATTTATATAAGCTCCCAATTCGAAGAGTTCAATATCTTCGTGTAAAATCAAGTATGAAACATTCAAAGGGAAAAGATATGAAGAGAAGAATTCAGTACCCGAAATTGTATCACGGTTTGGGTGAGAAGAATTGAAAGTGGATCTTTGCTGCGAAGTCGATTCGGTCAAAACAAAGTAAACTCTGAGATTGAAATGGTGGTGTCGTGGAGTAGAGAAGAAAGGGCGGGCAAGGAAGTTTGTGGGCCGGGCCGAGCCGGGCCTAGACAAAATTAATTTCACATTAGATTGGGTTGTTTGGGCCCGATTTGACCCATTTTGTTAATTGTGAAGAATATCTGACAATGAAGTTTGGTTATAGTTATTTTTATGGTGTATGATATAGAATTAAAATATAGGTTATTATTTTCGACAATAAGAGATACAAAAATTCTTATGAAATATAGATTTTTGTTTTCGAAAAGAAAAGATACAAGAAATCTTACAAAAATAATCGATATCCTAAATAATCGATCTATTTGCCAAGAAGTTAAAAAATATATTCCCTCACATTGTACCAATTTCTTTCTACACATTTATAATTCAATCCTTTCTCTATAAGTGTATTCACGATTGTACCAATTTCTTCTGACATGTTACTAATTTATTTGACATAGATCTACATTGTTAAACGTATTGTTCTTATAGATAACCCTTCTATAAAGTTTATTAATATATGAACTCATTAGTTTATTGCCAAATATGTTGAAATGGGATGTAATGTTTTCTCCAAAAAAAATAAAAAATAACTTGCGTTAGAGCCTGAACCAAAAAATGTAAGCAACCAATGGGAATAAACAATCTTGAAAGTTCATTATCACCATCTAATATTCAAAGGATAACAAATATATTAATGAATATTCTATGCATATAACCTAAACATAAGCAATATTGAGGCACAATGTAATGTAAGCTTCACACAGAACAAAAAGGTGCATATGCATAATATGCACAGCTGGCTGAAAGAACTACAGAGATAACAAAAAAAGTCAGCCATCAAAATTCCCAGCTTCAATGGCTATTCACTGCCTCGATCTTGACTCAGCACGTCGAGCTTCATCTTTTGTCGAAGGGAATAGCTCGACGTACCTTGTACCTATTGTCATCTTGTCCTTGCACATTGCTCTCTTGGCCTCCTCTGCGGAAGCAAACTCCACAAATGCCTCACCAGTAGCTTTCCCATCAGGGCGGCATGCGATGTGTATCTTATCTTCAATAAGCATGAAGTCTTTAAAGAATTCAACTATATCAGGTTTCTTAACAGAGAAAGGGAGACCACGCATCTTTAAAATCTCAGTGTATTCCATTTGATCTTTGTCATTGAACCTCTTTGCACGAGATGGTGGAGGACTTCCATGGTAATCATTATCATAAATTCCTTCATAATTCACCTCTGCAGCCACAGCATTGTAGTAATCTTGTCTCTTGCACCTGAAAACTTCCACATACCTGCGCCCCATATTTTGCCTGTCTCTCTGTAAAGCAAAATCAACCTGCATGGACCCAGCAAAAATAACAAAAGCCTCTCCCGAGAACCGTCCACTCTTGTTGACCAGCAACACATCCACTATGTCTAGTCCGGCAAAGAACTTGAAGATATCAATATCAGTGCAGTTGAAAGGTAAGCCTCTGAGACGAACCACAGGAAAGGAAGGGGGCTGAAAGCCACCACCATAGCCGTATGGTTGAAAACCACTGGAGCTGCTGCTCACTGCGAAGTAGGGATTTGATTCCATCATTCTTTGTCTCTTTGAGCCGACCTCGTACCCGTCCGAAACCCCCCCGCTTCCCAACATTGCCCTTCAATTATCCATACCCAAAAGAAAAAAATCCCCCACTCAACCTGTTAATAAACCAAACCCAACCCACTTTTCCCTGACACCTAATGTCTAATCCTACTTTTCATAATTTCAAAGCATTATCATGATAAACCCTCCCAAGAATCAACATATAAAATGTAAAATATATACAAACACTCAAGATGCAAAGCAAAGCAGAGTAGAAACACAAGTGGTCACAATGGACAGTAAACAAAATCTAAACTAAGTGATGGTGGAAATAAACCGAAGTCAAATAACATTATCCTCATTATTTGCATTAACAGTATAACATATAATACAAAGAGAAAGCACCAAGTATCAGGCAAATTTACACACACATAGCAAACAAATGATTCTCATAAAGGCAGGACATGTGGAACTAATACACTACAATATAAACTAATGTAATAAATCCATATCAATCTTAATAGTTCACCTTTAATTTCAGCTATTTACGGCTTTGTTGTATCCTTAGATCATAATTATTGGTGAGAGACAATATAATTTAAACTTAGTATGCTCTGATAAGGATAGAAGAAAAACTATGTGCATAATACTGTGAACATTATCAAACTATATCATTCTTTTTACCCTCGTTTTAACTTTTGCTTTCCCAATTCTTATAAATGGCTTGTTGCAGTTCATGCTGAACTTATTTGTCTGAAACCAATGTTTGGCTATCTGGACCCTTTCTTTAGTTTTATTCAACAAAGTACGTGATCATCATCATTTGAGAAATATAACGAGTCCAGGTTTGTTATTGTTGTATTGATTTATATATTCGTTGTCTAAACAAATGGGTTTTATGCACATCAACTTGAAATAAAGGCAATTGAGTGAATGGGTAATGATTTTTTTCTTTTATTTTCCTTCCCTTTTCTCTCCTCTTCTCAATCTCACCCTCAGTTTGTATGGAAGTTTTTGTCTGTGGTGAGTAGCAAAAAAGAGGTTAATTGGTGTCACTGTGAATAATTTATTTCAATCATTGGCTGGGGTGTTTTAGCAAAATTTCAAGGGATTAAAAGAAATAATTTAAAAAATAATAGAATAAACTAATAATAAAAAGAATATTATATTATTATTTAAAAAAGAGGGCAATTTAGTAATCTACATAACATACACACTTATTTATCCTCTCAACCAAACATATTATTATAACATATCCACCAATTTATGCCAACCAACCAAACACATTTCTCTAAAGATTCCTTGGTATTTTATCTTTCCAGAAATACAACATTCCCACGTAATACAACATTCCCTGAACCAAACGCACCCTACGAATAATCAATAATGTTATGCATCTTAAAATTATGTCAAAAATATTGTATCTCGATAAAGTTATATTAGTATGTCGTTAGTTTAAGCTGTATAACCTAGCTAAGTGCCATAGGTTCACAGTCTTTCAACGAGTTTTTTCGACAGACTTAACACTACCAATTTTAGAAAAATCTATAATAGGTTAATGCGTTTGATTTAGAAAAGCTGGCCTAGACTTTTAAAAACTCAATAGTAACTACAGCTATATATACAAATTTCACTAAAACCTTGTCGTGGTGCAGAGTTAATACATACATTCTTTACCAAATCCAACTTGTCTTTTAATTTCCATATTGTTCATATTTCTAGTATTAAATTCTTTAAGCAAACACCACCTTGCACACACTTTCAACTGAAAACAAATCAATTTTATGGGCCATACTCCAATTCAAGTTTCTACATAACCTAGCTCTTCCATACTGGTAATGTTTTCCAAATATTACCATTACTGACTATGTTATTGCAATCAGTTTTAGCTTTCTGGGTCTAGTTTAATTATCTAGTATTAAATTAAAACCTAAAAATTCAATAAAAACAATTCCCCTATTTGCGCCGATTAATTGTAATTATAACCTAATATAATCAGAAAACAATAAAATATAAAAATAAAATCAAACATGAAATTAGGTTCACACAATCACCAATTCACAAACAGAACAACCAAATTGACACAAAGCATTAATCACACATCTAAGAACTTACCCCCTTGATCCGTACATGGTTCCTGCCCTTAATAAATCTTCTTCACACTCTCCGATTCTCCGATAAAAAATAAAAAGAAAAAATCCCTCAGAAAAGCTGAATGTCTGATTGAGAGAAGAACCCTAGATGAATAAAACGCAAACTTGTCCGTTCTATTTTTCACGTTTCGGGCTTTAAATTGCCAGTTATTTTTTTTACTAAATCTTGGATGTATATGTAGTTTACCTAAATGGCCTTGTGTTCCATCATTAAACAGTCAAAACGACGAGTCGATGCGGTCAAATATGAGGGTGGTTTAGGGAATAAAATTATTTTTAAAATAGTATTATAGGCTAATATTCATTATTACGGAAAACTGTCGGGTATTTGTTTTAATATCAATATTACGACGTCGTTTCCCATATATGTTTCCTTATACGTGCCTCACTTAGTCATTTATCACAAAATTAGAAAAGAAATAATGAAATAGATTTACTCAAAAATAATTTTGGAAATTTGTATATATATTTATTAGTAGGAATTGATGAATTAATACTTAATAATTAATTTATTTTAAAAAAAAGTTTTAAACGTATTACATCATCTATATATTTATCTAATAATATCTCAATCGTTAAATCTATTTATTTTTTTCGTATTTACTATAATTGAGTCTGATGGCGGTGGATGACTTTAAATATGTCTACTTGGCTCTCACTTTCAAATATTATTTTTGTTTTTCTTCTTCAATTCAATGGTATCTGGGGAGCCAAAAGTGTGTGAAAGAGGCAATGAAAATGAGAAGAAACCGATACATAAAACTGATTGAAAGACGAAACAAAACATGGAAATCAACTTTGGAGAATGACGAGGCCAGGATGATGCGGGTGTATGAATGGAGAACGATGAACACTCCAATTATATGAGCATGGTGCTTGGTGATTGACTAGTTCTTTGTTACGTGTATTCAAGGAAGGAATGCCCTATTCCAACTTAGGGAGTACCAACAATAGTTCAATGAATAGTCCCACGGCCACGGGAACATAGTAGTAAAAGTTTTGGGAATTCAAGAGAAGATCACAACAAGACAAACCAAATGAAAGTTCAATGGTGCATGCAAGTATGCAACTAAGACATTCTAACAGACCAGTAACCTTGAATCTTATACCTACATGACTACGACCAATTCAATCATACATTCACCATCTACTAGAATCTTTTCAACTTTCTACTCCCTTGCTTTTTTAAATCAAAATATATAAATACTAAGAAATTGACTCTAGACAGTAATATATGCATTATTTGCTTATGTAATTCCTAGATAAGAAAAGGAAAATTGGCTAAATTTGTCCATGAAAGAGAAATAAAAAAGGGTACAAGAAACAGAAAAGGGTAAGCATAGATTTTTATTTTTTTTGTACCCAAGGTATTATCCTCGGAGAAGATTAACGCAGCAACCCACCGTTAATGAAACCACATTCCAAACAAAGAAGTGTTTGACAGACACATATTAATGTGCGACCAAAAGAATAAACACAATGCAATAAACCATGGGATGTTAAATATTAAACAGTAAACATTTATATTATCCACTGTCCAGCATTGGGACATCTTCCATTGTTTTTTTTTTTTTTTTTTTTTTTTTTCTTTCTTCAATCAACACTAGGCCGATTTTCAACTCACTATCCAAGAATTAACATATAGACTGAAAAAGGAAAAGAAAAGAATGTCAATACAGAAAAAAGCTAGGAAATATAAAAAAAATAGTCGGTGCAGAATTAGTCTATGAGGAAGAAATGCAGATTACTAGTCCTTACTCTACTTGAAGAGTTGACAAACATATTTGCTAACCCTGGTAGACAATATCAGCCAAGGTATAATCCCAACCTGCAGTTAAAATTATACGAATCAGATGAACATTCATAGCCATCCATCTTCATGATTTTTTTTTTTTTTTTTTTTTTTTGGGTCTTAATAAGCAACCAGCAGGTTACAAAGAAAAAAAATACAAGTGGTCGCACAACTCGCACCCCAAGTGCAGAGGGCGCAACACATCAATAGTATAAATCTTGTAAGCTCCAAATTTCAGGAAAGACTTACCTTAGCTAAGTTCCCATAATATTATTGAATTAAATACATAATATACAAAAAAGCACTGCAAACATAGTTCATGCCGAAGAAACTATCAATTATCTACATCATAATCCTCTGCATTATATTTAAACCAGGCTTAATAAGTAGAACAAATCATGAAGCACCAAATGGAGCCACTGTTGTGATAAAGTTTAAACTAAATATAAGATTTCTTTAAGCAAACACAGGCAAGAGAGAAAATAACCCACCACGGTAAAAGCTCAGTCATGCATAACAAAATATACAAGGGGAGAATATTGCAATCATATTTACCAGAACATTGTTATTAGAAACACCTCCAGTCCTCCAAGATAAAAACTTCCCTGCAAAAATGTAGATATAATTGAATCAAGCTACAGCGGAAACCGGCCAATTATAAAAGATCTGTCATTTCTCAATGAATAAATATCCACCTGCTGCTTCTCCACTCATTCTATTCTTATTAACGATTTTTTCTTTATGGTGAGGCAACTATCTTATTTATAATTTGCAAAGTATGTCATTAAGCTTACCATCAAATTAAGAGCACTATGGTGCTGTGAATGCAGGACTCAGATAACATTGATGCAATAAACAGCTAAACAGCTAGGAAAAAAGAAACAAGAGATTCAAGGGATTCCTGGGAGAAATATATTAATTACCAAAAGGTTGCACAAGTTGCCGGGAAACAGCCGCAACAGGGGTTCTCCAAAACAAACAAACCAGCACAAAATATATAAGAACCTACACAACCAAAAGAAAGACTTCTTAGGACCTCAATGATGGAAAAGGAACAAACTTCTAACAACTTAATCTGACCAGAACCACCTTTGAAATTAACAGAACTTTCAAATACAGATCATAAGACAACTTCATCTCCTTGCCCTGTAATTCTTGATCTGCTTGACAAATAATAGTGTTAGAAGCTTCTAACAAAGAATAGAAAATATGTAATACAAATGGACAACTAGGGTAGAAACAAGAACGGAGAAAAATAGCAAAAGCACAACTGATGACATTCAAAGATTCATTCCATTTTTTATTAATTATCATGATAAGAGACCTTGAAACTTCAATTTTAGGTAATTATGATTCCTAAAAAGTTCCTAATTTGAAGTTAACTAAAAAGAACAATAACACAGTCTTGGTTACGGAAGTAGAGAGAGATCATGGCAAAGGAATCGAGTTTAGGTTGGGAAATGTATACAGAGAAGCCAATAGTTTGGCAGATTGGCTTGCCACCCATATGACAAACTTCTCCCTGGAAATCACGATTCATCAAACTCCACTCAGAATATATCAATTCTCTCCTCCGGAATTACTTTACCCCCAATCAGTTAGTTCTCAAACGGGCCTTTCCAAATGTTGTAAACAAAATATAAAAGACAGAAGTTGTAAACTTCAGGCATAAACAGGTCCTACATCAGTCAACTAACATGCATTTTCAGGGCCTAAAAGAGTGTGATGAATGAAAGCTCATATATAAATCAACCACAGGACAATCAGTATAAAATTGTTAAATTTTATGCAACCCTAAGTTACTTTTAAGCAATATATACCAAAAATAAGGATTTATTCATACTTGATACTCATAAATACAAACATTATAGCTAGAAAAGCAGATAGATATAGTTCATGAAGTGAGTGTACTTCTTTTCTGTTTGCAAATTCTCTTTTTCATTTCTTTTTTTTTTTTTTTTTTTTCTTTTGAAAAGCCTACCTATAAGAAATCATAATGGAAAATTTCAGTTAATCAAAAGCAGCACCCCACCTATTGAACATTTTACTCCAGCACCCTAAAATCGAAATCCTCCTTATTGTCAGGATTTACTCTTGCTCTCCTAATGTATCAAGTCCACCCTTCAAACACATAACTGTTTTTATTTTAACCTATAAATTTAAACCATACCCCTTCCTACCCTAATGTGAGTGAGATTTAGTCCTATCAAGTTCACTTTTCAATACTCTAAACAAACCTTTTATAACCTAACAACCAAGAAGAAGTTATTCTATGTGCTTCTGAACACACATCCTAATCAAACGTTAAAAAAAATCACCTAAACTTATGCAATCAATATCTCAAAGAAACAACAAATAAACAAATACACTTAAACAGAAAATGGCCTCACAATTTGCAAGTTCCTTCTCCTTAGCAGCTGCCAACCTCCTAAGCTTCGCAGCTTGTGCAAACGTTGATGGCCTATAATCAATAAAACACCCAATCACACAGATGTATCCATTAAAAATCATATCACCATCTATCTACACCTTTTGTTTTAAACCTGATGTTTGTAAACGCCAGCATAAAGGATTACTAGTAGTTTTAACCAAAGCAGCAACTACCAAGTCATTGTTATTAGGTATAAACGACTTTCAATTATATAAATGTTTATATAAACAAGTTGCATTCAGTCGGAACTTGAGAACATAAAAATATTAAAACCGAAATGATAACAATGGTAATGCTCATCACATAAAAATTACTCTATGCATATCCTATTGTGTGAATAAAACTTCCACTAAATCAAAATTCAACCACTCACTGCGTTAAAGAGCTGGCCTCTTTCAAGATTTGTTTTATTTCTCTCCGCAATTGCATTTCTCTATCACTCGTGGATCCTTTCTGATAAAACACAGCCGTAGTAAAATACACGTATTATCAACTCTGAATATTAATCAATCACTGATAAATTAGATTATGAAAAAACAATTATACGTGACAAATTTGTTACCTTCTTCAATTGTTGGAGCCATCGTGAAACGTACTGAAATGCGAAGACAATAAGTAAAATAAGCGGCGCAGCTACAGAGCTTCCCTGTTGTTCTATGATTTCTTCTTCTCTCATGATCGTCCTCGTTCTCGGAAATTCTTTTTTGACGAAGAATTGATAAACACGAGCTCTACTGTTGCTTCTTCTTCGTTGTGTATATTTCTTTTGGATCTATGCTCCGGGTCGGGTCATGTTGGATCGGATGGTCAGATTAGAGAAACTTCTTGACAAGGAATGCCACTGTGTTATTACTTTATTAGTTTATAGTGTTACTGTTTATTTAATTGTATTTATAGTGTTAATTAACAAAGTTGAAAAAAACATTTTTAATATGAGTGCGTGAAATAAAAGAGGTATTTTTTTTTTTTTTTTCTTTGGTTAAAATAGGTGTCTAGGTCAATTTCTGTCGCAATCTTATAGGTAAATCATAAGGAAAGTATTCCTCTTATTTTTTTTAACTTTTTAAACTCTATTTTATTATCTTATTTTATAAAAAAACGTGTTTATTTTAATATTGATTATTCAATTCAAAATCAAATCATGTTTTATTCAACTCAAAACATTTAACAATTATTTTTTACAATAAAAATTTATAAATTAACAAAAACACCTTCACCCACTCAAGCAATTGTCGGTCGCTAGTAACCATCATCGACTGCTAGTCGTTGCCGTTGCCATTGCCTGTCGTCAATGCTGGAAAGACGCGCAACTAGTCAGATTTGGTTGATCTAGCCATTTGGTCATATTCTGATGATAGATCTAACCATTTTCGGTCAAATCCATGTGGATCTAGTCAAAAAATATTAGATTAACGTATAACCAGCTAGATCCAACGAGGAATTAAACCTGAGACTATAAGTTAAAACGTCCTTATTGTTAAACTACCCAGGAATGGGTAAACAGGTACGTATTTTCACATTAGGGATTTAATTATGTTAAAAGTGGAATTTATACTAGGATAAATCTATCCTTATAAAGAAGTTTACAAAGTAGCTTACAAAGTGAAAGAAAAAACAAAAGAAAAACGGAAAAAGAGAAAGAGAGAGAGAGAGAAATGATGAAGATGAAGGGTGGAAATTAACTTTGTATGCCTACTTTGTAGACTTCTTTGTAAGAATAGCAACTCCCCTTATAATAATATTGGGTGCCTGTAAAATAGCAATCTCATACTCAACAGTAAATCATTCGCTCAAAAAAACAGGTTAAAATAGAAATTGGTATGTTCACGTTTCTGCTCAATCATGTTCAATCACGTCTAGAAGTACAGTGATTGATTATATATTGTTTATATTATGTTGTTTTTTCATGTTTTATGCGCATATTAGATGTAATTAATTTACAAGCAAAAGGAATATAGTTAACCCAAATTGACTCAAGAATTTATGTCTGAATGAATTTGGTTCGCACACCTATTCGAATCCTATTTAATTTAAGGATATTCTTTAAGTTTTCAACAAATGGGAAGTTAAGAGAGATTTTCACGTCATTAGGCTACTTGTAAAAATGTAATCATTACCTTAAAGCTAAAGGGATATAAATAGGCAGCTTTCTCTCATCAGACATTCACACATTCAATAATAAAAATAGCAAAAATACATTACTAGAAAGAGATTGGCTTGACATTTTCTAAGAACACTTAGAACATCAAACACTTGTAATCTCATATCGTAGCTCGCGACCTCTTGTAAGCTTATCTAGTGATTAGAAAGTAATTTATATAAACGAATATAGTGGATGTAGGATTCGCTTTAAAAATATGAACTATTATAAAAAATCATTTTGTCAACTTTACATTTAAGTCTTTGCATGCTACTGTGCCCAAAATATCTCACCCACTCACCATAATCAACTTTTATAACCATATATAATTTCATAGCATTTTACACGTGCGAAATCGTTGGTGTCAAAATCAATGATCAAGAATATTCAATTCACAATCATATATATTTTTGTATACATACCACAAATGATATTTAAATTTTTATTACCGCTAAGTTTATAATTAATCAACATACCACTAACATAGTTTGCTTATCAAATATGTACTAAAAAATGTTACATTATGTTATACAAAAATCAAATAATTGACACAAATTCTTAATTATTAGTCAAATGAGTCGATGAATAAGAGAATTGAGTTAAAAGATGAAAAACAATAGCTTTTGATCATAAGCATGGTCACGAGAGGGTTTGAATTAGACACCTAAAAATAAGAGTTAACAACTTTTTCCCANGTGTGTGTGTTATGCCTAAAAAAATGGTTGATCTATACTAACGTTATTAAGCACCAATAAAAATCCAAAAAAACATTCTATCGTCCAGAATATGACATGTCTCCACAGGCAAAAGGAATATAATTGACCCAAGCCGACTCAATAATTTGTGCCTTAATGAATTTGGTTCGTACACCTGTCCGAACCCCATTTAATTTAAGGATATTTTTGAGTTTTCAACAAATGAGAAGTTAAGAGAGATATTCACGTCATCAGACCACTTACAAAAGTGTAATAATTACCTTGAGCTAAAAGGATATAAATAGACAGCTCCCCCTCATCAGACATTCACGCATTCAACAAATAAAATAGCAAAAACACGTTACTAAAAAGAGACTAGCTTGACATTTTCTAAAAACACTTAGAACATCAAACACTTGTAATCCCATATAATAGCTTGCGACCTCTTGTAAGCTTGTCTAGCGATTATACAGTAATTTATATAAATACAGTAGATGTATATTTCGCTTTAAGCATATGAACCATTTTAAAAATCATTTTGTCAACTTTACATTAAAGTATTTGCATGCTATTGTGCTCATAATATCTCACCCACTCACCATAATCAACTCTTATGTAATTTTATAGCATTCTACACGTGCAAAGTTGTTGGTGTCAAAATTAAACATCAACAATATGCAATTCACAACCATATATATTTTTGTATACATACCACAAATAATACTTAAATTTTCATCACCACTAAATTTATAATTAATCAACATACAATTGACATAGTTTGCTTATCAAATAGTCAAATACTCTCTCCCTTTTTTTTTTAATAGTCGTTTTAAGTTTGGGTATGGGTTTTAATAAAAAAAAAATTTATCTCTCCCACCAACTTTTTCCCCTGATTTTGCAGATGGGAGAAGACTTTACAAGTAGGAAACTTTCTCGCTTATTTAAATAATTAACATTTTTGTCTTATTGTATTTCATTTATTCTGCATTTCTCCTTCATCTGTATACTTTTTTTTAAAAGACAAGACAAGAACGACTGTTATTTTGAAAAAAATTAAAAACCCTTAAAACAACTATTAAAAAAAAACGGAGGGAGTATATACTAAAAAATGTTACATTATGTTATACAAAAATCAAACAATTGACACAAATTCTTAATTATTAGTCAAATGAGTCGATGAATAAGAGAATTGAGTTAAAAGATGAAAAACAATAGCTTTTGTTCATAGGCATGGTCACGAGAGGGTTTGAATTAGACACCTAAAAATAAGAGTTAACAACTTTTTCCCACCCAAATAATGGTTTAATGACACATTTTTTTTACCCCAAACTTTTTATTTCGACTGTGAATAGAGAACAAACTCGTCCAAGCTATTGAAGTTTTTAAAAAGGGGAGGCTAACAAGTCTTTTAGGGGTTAAAAGTTGGATTTTAGTAGTTAAGATTGATCGGAATTTAACTTAGAGGGACGGCTACGCGACCATAATCACTCAATTGAACCATTTTTTTGGTGAAAAAAAGTAGTTACTCTAAAAATAAACATAAATTTGAACGTTACATAAAATCACGTCTCGAATTTATATGTCAATGGTATTAAAATATTAATCTATAATAACTTAACTCTAAAGTAAAATTAATGCTACAATAACTAATATATATGTTGCGATGGATGTACCATAAGCCATCTTACCCGTAAATTAACTCTTAAAGCTCGTGCAAATCTTAATACTAGTTGATCGTCCAGGATTTTAAAGTAAATATTATAATTAAAATTAACATTAAACGTGTATAGTATGGTATAGTATCTCCTTTAAACGACCCACACCGTGGCACGATATTGAAAAACAATAAATATATAAATAATTATTAATAATATCTACATGCCAACATTACAGGATCATGCCTTGTATTAGTGAACATATTATCGTATATTATTATTATTATAATCAATGATTTAGACAAATTCTATGAATCTTCTAATCCCTCGCCCTCCTCCTAGCGGTTGCGTAACAACAGTCCTTAAGCAAAATATCCAAAAATGAATTCACAAACGTCAATGAATCTACACCGAAGGTGAAATCCGTGATTCAGATCTCTTAAACACGTGTACGCAAGAGATGAATGCAGACAAAGTGAAGTCACGTGTCATAATCTATCACGTGACGTGCTCTTTCACACTTCACAAGGAAAGAACTGGCATCTAGCCAATGACATTAAGCACAGGAATAGACGACGTGGCAGATCAATTCGAAATCCCGCCTAAACCCGGACTTCAATTTTTTCATAAATATAATTTGTTTCTTTTTTAAGTTTCCCAAATAATCCTTTCGTTATTTTCGCTACGTTCCTTGAGCCCCAAAACAAGTCCCCTCTCGCACGCACGTAATAAAAAACAACAAACAAATACAAGTTACAAACCAGCACATCATTTGGTCTCTCTTTCTCAAAAACCCTAATCGCTCCAGGTAACTCGCGAGTCTGTGCGGCGCTGACTCAGTCCGAGTCACACCGATTTCCTTGTGATTCTCACCGGTTTTCGATTTTCTTTTTTCCCGCAGGTTTCGTCATGAAGGGAGGAAGATCAAGAGCTGATGAGAATGACAAGTACGAAGTACGTTTTGATTGTTTATTTCTCGTTCTTCGTCTCCGTAGATCTGTTTTGCTGACGTTTGTTGTTAGTATGCTTGAGTTTTACGATCGTTTTCATGTTAGACGCTTCTTTTTATAGGCTGAAGAGCAGAGGCGCGAGAGCCGGAAAGCGAAAGGCAAAGGCCCCGAAGGATCCAAACAAGCCGAAAGACCTCCTAGTGCTTTTTTCGTTTTCATGTACGAGTTTTTTCTTTTTTTTTTGATTATTATTTTTTTTTGTCGTGAGTTTTATTTATTTGCTATTATTTATTTTTTATAGCTTTGTGTAATGAAGGAGAGATTTAGGCAGCAATTCAAAAGAGAAAATCCTAACAACAAATCCGTGGCTGCTGTAGTAGTACATAGTATTAAAGCCAGTTCTTTTT